GGGGCAAAATTTATTATGGTTTATAATGGCAAATGATACGTTGAATATTACTTGTTAATAACTTGATTGGAATTATAACCTTGAATTGACAGTTTGATACTTTGAAAATTTTGAGCCAACCCTACCCCCAAGGGCTGTAGGGTGGGGCTCAAAGGAGTCAGTGTGCTAAAATTTCTTTATTTTCCTTGTTAAGAATCAGAGGTGCTAATTTCAAATCCTTTTTAGTCTGAAATCTGTATACTAGATATTGAGTAAGGTGGTTTTATTGTTTTTTGTCACTTTGAATAATATTTCTGTTCATGTTAAAAACAAAATCAACTCTCTGTATAAATATATCAGGTGACCGTTAAGGCCCATGGGCCTCTTGTTAAGTCATGTCAGTTGATAAATATTGTGAAACTTTCAATTATTTTCTTGGCTGAGACAACAATGGTGGAATTATAATTATGTAAAACATAAAAGTACTTAAAGTGACCGTTAATTACCTTGTTTGACAAAATATTATAATTGTGAAATTTTGTTAAGTTTTAAGGTAGAGAGCTAGTCCCAGCACTCTGTTTGTATCTCCAATGAAAAAGAGCTCTGATTCAAAAAAAAAATTACTTAAATGACCCTTAAAGACCTTATTTGACAAAATATTTTTTTTGTATTTTTTTCAAGTTTTAAGGTAGAAAGTCCCAGCACTCTGATTGTACCTCCAATGAAAAAGAGCTCCGAATTTTTAAAATAACAGTATAAGTTACCTAACAATAACTATGTGATGGTATTGTTTTGCTACAAAACAGCATCACTCTTTGATAACCCCAAGTATATTTTAAGTATGTAAATATATTAAACTTGAGGCGTTGCTAGTTCAAAGTTTTGATGTTGATATCCACTATGTGTGAGCCGTTTTTATAATTCAGTTATCTCTCGCAAAAGATGAATTTTTGCGTTAATTAATGAGGTGACACGTGAATTTAAATACTTTATGAATTTTAATGTCAAAGCCAGTTACTGAATCAAGATGGAAATAGTTTCTTCTTCATTGTAATTTCAATCATTGGTATATGTACATACAAACCATACAGGCATTGTTTGCAAAATAAAGCACACTCAAAAATGTTGTTACTTATACGATCTGTTGATTTTATTTCAGGGACCCGTTTGGTGTTTGTGTGTCAACAATGATTTCTTATTTAGCGGTTCATCGGACAAAACAATAAAGGTAAGTTATCAACTCCTTCACCCCTGAAATTTTATAATGAACTATTCCAACATTTGAATTGGAAGAGTTCAAAGGTGTATTCAGGGGTGAATGAGTTAAGGATAATGATAAAAAACCGTTTTGCATTCATCATGTGAACATTCAGACTTCTGCTTTTGACCTTGTTATATACAGTATTACACGACTCAAAAGTAAACAAAACAAAACTTATAAATTGGTTATAATTTTATAATTTAGCTGCTATTTGATAAAAATAATATCCAAAAAGTGAAAATTAAATTCTAACAATATCATTTTCCATTAATTATAATATATGTCATTTCGCTCGTATGGCCAGAATTAATATACAAATATTTTCACTTGTGCTTTGCATTCTTGAAATTTTTTGATATTCTGTCATACTCGTAAAATGTATCATTTTATATGGTATTCAATGGGAAACCGTCAAATATCCTCTATTTATTACTGAAATGAGTTTAATAGATGTTTCTTCTAAAATCTGTGAGCCGAGTTAAAAGAATCTGGGAAAATCATAAGCATGAATGTCTATTTCAAACTGTCACTCCAAATTGTTGGTACAATCACAACAAGTGATCAGGGCCCACGCAGTCGTCCTCCGCGATACTCCAGGGGTTACGCTCATCTTCACACTCTCTGTACCCCCGGAATATGTCATAGCAGAATTGAAGGCAGGAAGACATAGCTATTTAAATCTGGTCTCGGGTGAAAAAAACTGGCCAATTGCTAGACTGATACCTGTCCTTTGAAGATTGCAGAGAAGAGACATCTGACTGCAATTCCGTTCAAATTAAACCTTTATTCTGTCAAGCAGTTCCGTTCATGTAGATCAAAAGAACCAGATTACAGTAGTTATTTGGGAGCCTTCAATTTCGTCATGACATATTCTAGGGGTGCAGAAAGCGTGAGGGAGCACAACCCCGAGAGTATCAAGGATGGGATCCAGTAAACAATATATACTCTATAATGGGTTATTTAAATGCAAACTTAAATTTGCACTTTTTTTTACCTAAAATTAGAAAATTTAATTTATACCGAATATTGTTTCCTGATCTAGACATGTCAAGGAACTAAATTTTGGCAATGATTTAGCACCAGAGACGAGGCTCATGGCATATATAGGCTGTCAAATTGTTAAATGAATAGGCTTTATCACAGCATATTGAGCAACAACAAGTGAGCATGTTTTGTTAAAGAGGTCATCAACAAAACTATCAGATGTGTGATATGATCTATTTTGAAACATTTTGTATTACTTATCTTGATTGATATGAATCGTTCAACCACATTCTCGTTATTTCCTGACAACATTACACTTACAAAGTTTCTTATCGCAGCTAATTTTTACTCGTCGTATTATTCTGCGGATCATATTTTTATTACTTTTTTATTGTTTCTTATCGCGGTTCATTTTTGCTCACCTGGCACGAAGTGCCAAGTGAGCTTATGCCGTGGCACGGCGTCCGTCGTCCGTCCGCCCGTCCGCCCGTCCGGCCGGCCGGCGTCCGGCGTCCGGCGTCAATATTTTACTTTAAACGACTTCTTCTTAATAACCGAAAGGCCTAGGGTGTCAATATTTGGCCAGAAGCAAACTTGGATGAAGGGCTACAAAGTTTGTTCAAATAAATGACCTTCACCTATTTTCAAGGTCACAGGGGTCAAATATGTCAAAAACTTTAAACATCTTCTTCTCAATAACCAAAATGCCCAGGGAGATGATATTTGGCCAGTAGCATGCTTGGGTGAAGGGCTACCAAGTTTGTTCAAATGAATGACCTTCAATTATATTCAAGGTCACAGGGGTCAATTGTATTAAAAAACCTTTAAACAACTTCTTCTGAATAACCAAAATGCTCAGGGTGATGATATTTGGCCAGTAGCATGCTGAGATGAAGTGCTACAAAGTTTGTTCAAATGAATGACCTTCACCCATATTCAAGGTCACAGGGGTCAAATATGTTAAAAACTTCAAACAACTTCTTCTCAATAACCAAAAGGCCTTTGGTGAATATATTTGGCCAGTAGCAAGCTGAGATGAAGGGCTACAAAGTTTGTTCAAATAAATGAACTTCACCCATATTCAAGGTCACTGGGTTTCAAATATGTCAAAAACTTTGAACAACTTCTTCTCAATAACCAAAATGCACAGGGTAATGATATTTGGCCAGTAGCATGCTGGGATGAAGGACTACAAAGTTTGTTCAAATGAATGACCTTCACCCATATTCAAGGTCATAGGGGTCAAATATGTTTAAAAACTTATACAACTTCTTCTGAATAACCAAAATGCCCATGGTAATGATATTTGGCCAGTAGCATGCTGAGATAAAGGGCTACAAAGTTTGTTCAAATGAATGACCTTCATCTATATTCAACGTCACAGGGGTCAAATATGTGAAAAACATTCAACAAGTTCTTTTGAATAACCAAAATGCACAGGGTGATGATATTTGGCCAGTAGCATGCTGAGATGAAGGGCTACAATGTTTGTTCAAATGCATGACCTTCACCCATATTCAAGGTCAAAAGGGTCAAATATGTTAAAAACTTTAAACAACTTCTTCTGAATAACCAAAATGCCCAGGGTGATGATATTTAGTCAGTAGCATACTAGGATCAAGGGCTACCAAGTTTGTATAAATGTATGACCTTGAATCATATTCAAGGTCACAAGGAGTAAATATGTTCAAAATATTTCAACAACTTGTTCTGAATAACCAAAAGGCTCAGGAAGTTGATATTTAGTCAGTAACATATGCTGGTATCAAGGACTACTTTGTTTGTTAAAGTGAATGACTTTGACTTATATTCAATGTCACAGGGGTCAAATTTGTTTAAAATCTTTAAACAACCTCTTATGAATAACCATGGGTCCCAGTATGTTTATACTTTGCAAGTTGCATCCTGAGATGAAAGGCTATACAATGTGTTCAACATAATGACTTTGTTCGACTTTCAATCACAGGGGTGAAATGTTCCAAAAAAAAATTAACAGGGTCTTTTGAACGAATTTTAATCATAAATACTGATATTTTGCCTGTAGCTTTATTTTAGATCACTTTTAAGGTTACAAGTGTGAGTTTTATACCAGGTGAGCGATGCAGGCCCATTGGGCCTCTTGTTTAATCGTGTCATATTGCTCTGCGCCTGTGGATCATATTTTTTGGGTCATCACATTATTGACCCACGAAATCACGAAAACATCCTGCTATACAATACTAACCATGATTCTGCCTTATCTTACTGTAGGTCTGGGACACTGGCAATAACTACAAATGTTTGAAGACTCTGGAAGGTCACTCGGGAATCGTGTTGGCTATCTGTACCTATGGAAACAAATTGTACAGTGGCTCCCAAGACAGTAGCATCATAGTAAGTATGCTTAGGAGTCGTAATGTGAGAGGAAACTGGAGTACCTGGAGAAAACCTGTGCGATTGGGCAGGTGACCCCATTCCTTTTCACGTCAGGTCCAATCATAGTGTATAAAGTAAAAAATAATATAACTTTCTTTATTTTACAACAATTATGAAACAAGTTATTTCAATTTCAACTTACATTAAACACACTTGTTGGTCTGGATGTTAGCATCCTGGGGTGGGGTCGGGGTTGGGGGTGGGGGGACGGGGGAAGGAATGTTGGAGGAAACTGGAGTACCTGGAGAAAGCCTGTGTGATTGGGCAGGTGACCCCATTTCTTTTCACGTCATGTCCAATCATAGTGTGTAAAGTAAAAAATAATAGAAACTTTATTTATTTTACAACAATTATGAAACAAGTTATTTCAATTTCAACTTACATTAAACACTCTTGTTGGTCTGGATGTTAGCATCCTGGGGTGGGGTTGGGGGTGGGGGGAGGGGGGAAGGAATGTTGGAGGAAACTGGAATACCTGGAGAAAACCTGTGTGATTGGGCAGGTGACCCCATTCCTTTTCACGTCCGGTCATAGTAAGTTAAAATACACTATTAGTGATTGTAGTCCAAGAGATGGAAACAATATAGGCCAGGTGATAACAATATTTTATTCAACATTTGATATACCACTCTATACTTGCCATAAGGCCAAATGGAAAATGTTATTAGTTTCCGGTTACCCTACTTACCCTTATTTTTTGTGCCTACCCTAAACTGTTTTTGGCTACTTTCAAGGAACCAGCGTTCAAGTCAATATTACTCTCCTATTTATATAAATGTTATAAAACAAAGGACAATGAAAGGTACTACCCTTATATTTTCAAACATGTACCTAACAAACAGGAAACAAATGGGTTTTTCCGTTTGACCTCATTAATATAAGTGACACTGGTTAAAGATATCTACAAGTGTTTGTGCTTGCATGTGTGTCGGAGGCTACCTATATTAGTATTCTGTGTCACAGACCTTGTTTTTCTGTTGTATCATTTCACTTGACTGTTACAGAAAAATCTCCACCTTTGGGATAACATTTTTGAGGTTGAGCAGGTCATAGCATTGTAAGTCCAATGCTAAAATCTTATCCAGGAGTTGAGATTTTCCTGTCAACATCAGACAGACAGTGGTAGATTCCTTTTTGACGGTTATAATTCTGATGTGTTCTGTTGGCAGGTCTGGAACATTGACAACTTTGAACAAGTCTGTGTGATAGATGCCCACTGCAATCCGGTGTGTACGCTCGCCTCGACCAAAAGCTTGCTGTTCAGTGGATCTCTGAAGGTCATCAAGGTACGGTTTGTCAAGGTCATGGACATGGTGTTTGATGTAAAGGTCAAGGTCATCCAGAGAGTGTTTGGTGATAAGATATACATCCTCGTTAACTCCAGTGGTTACAATCACTTTCGCTCTCTGCACCCCTGGAATATGTCATAGCAAAATTGAAGGCACGGAAATAGCTGTTTGATAAGTGTCAGTAAAATAACCTGACCAATCACTAGGCTGATACTTGTCTATTGAAGATTACAGAGGAGCGACGCCCGACTTCAAAGCCAGTAAGTTTTACCGTTATGCGACTGCAAGATTCTTTTGATGTACATCAAAGGATCAAGCTAGTCTTCTCGACTCGTCCACAAGGCGGTTCACACTGAGCTATTAAATTTGCATTGACATATTCCAGGGGTGCAGAGAGCGAAAGTGAGCGTAACTCCTGGATATTGAGGATGTAATATAAAGGGGTTGGGGAAAGCTGCAGTACCCAGAGAAAAAAACACCTACCTGAGGCCTGCCTGAGGCCAGTAACCTTGAACCCGAAACTCAGTGGTTGAGGGCTAGTGATCGTAGACGGACTGACCTTGATGATTTTGGTTTGGTTTGTGTTTTAAGTCCTATTAACAGCTATGTGGTCATTTGAGGTCATGCCAGGTTTTGGTGGTGGAAGAAAGCCGGAGTACCGGGAGAAAAACCACCGAACTGCAGTCAGTACCTTGGGACCGCCCCAAGTAGGTCTCTAGCACGCGAACTACTAGTTGAGGGCTACTGATCTGATCGTTGATGGTCTGACGCCTTAACCACTTGGCCACTGCGGACCCCAGGAAAGTGATATAACGAGACTCGCTACAAAATCAGAGTCAAGTCACATCAAAGACACTTCTACATATTGTTATTGAATATGGATTATGATCTAAATATAGAGGCAGATATACTTCTGTTCAGCATAAATTAAGTCAAACTAAGTTAATTTACCTCAGTGGCTATATAATGTGTCCCGGCTTCCAAAATACTGTAATTATCTCCCTTAGTACATGATTTTCTGTAAACTAATGCTAGGTATTTTCAATTCTTTTTGAATTTAGGTATGGTTTGTCTACATGTATAAATCTCTATTCCTGCCACAACCACTATACGTTTCATTAGATAAACCTGCTAGGAGTTGATAAACAATTTTGGTTATACCCATTAGTGGGTAACACCATATATGTTATTTCATTAGTCAATCTTCTTATTTTGAGGTCGCATAAAATGCTTTGCGACATCATCTTCCATAGTTCATTGCATTGTTCCCCTCGCGGTGGCCCAGTGGTTAAGGCGTTGACATTCTGCTAACAGTAGCCCTCCACCACTGGGTCACGGGTTCGAGACCTACGTGGGGCAGTCACCAGGTACTGGCCATCGGTCGGTGGTTTTTCTCCGGGAACTCCGGGGCTTTCCTCCGCCACCAAAACCTGGCATGTCCTTAAATGACCTTCGCTGTTAATAGGACATAAAACACAAACAAACCAAACCAAACCAAACCCCCCTCAGAAACAGAAATAATGTATACTCCCAAGAGAAACTTTTGGTTTCAGAACGTTGTGGGTGGAAAAGGTCCCAAACTTGTGATGATCTGATTATCATGTTCATCTGCCTCTCTTTAGTTAATTTTCAAATCTTAATCATTGTGTCCCTATACAAATTAAAAACTAATAACGAGAATTAGGTAAACATGATCAACAACCATCACACGTTGAGGAACTACTTTCTACAAGTATGGATAAAGAATATTTCTCTACCTAGAGTGAATGGCTAATAGAATCGTTCACTCCTTTTCGGAGGGACGAGATAGGGGGATCACAACTTGAGGGAAGCTTGTCAAACTCGATGCTTAATTGCCAAGTGTTTGGAAATTTAAGAATTTTTCCTGAGGATTGAAAATTCCTATCTCACCACATGTACAGTGGGTGATTCATTCTTTTTCTTTTAACCTGTTAGTCCTGTAATATACATAAATCAGTGTAGGGGCTGAGTGTGGCCGAGTGGTAAAGGAGGCTGACCGTCTATGATCGCTAGCCCTCTGGGTCGCAAGTTTAAGACCTACATTATTGTATGTGGGGCAGTCGCCAGGTACTTTCCACAGGTTGGTGGTTTTTCTCCAGGTACTCCAGTTTTCCTCCACCACCAAAACCTGGTCCATCTTTAAACGACCCACAGCTGTTAATAGAACATACGTAAATCACAAACAAACTAACATAACACAATGTCGACGTTGATGTAATGAAAATTCATTGATGATGGAAGATGAATTGTTATGACTGAGAATTCTCACGTCTCAACTCTGTTTATATATATATATATATATACATGTATGACTGTGTACAGGTATGTACAACACAATGTATGATATATCCACAGGTATGGGACGTACACACCAATGAATTGAAGCAGGAATTGACGGGTCTAAACCACTGGGTGCGGGCACTCGTGGCAACTCAGAACCACCTATACAGCGGGTCTTATCAAACAATACGGGTGAGTTGACCTGTGGCAGTTAGATATAGAAAATCAGTATTGAATTTATAAACCAATTTCCACCATTGAATTTTTTTTTTTCTCTAGTGGTGTTTTGATTAATCGATGTTAATGACTATTAGTCAGTACAGCCAATAAACTGATTAATCAACTACAGAAGTCCTGATGGAGTTTAGTCAGATTAATTATGGAGGCACGTTAGTCTAGTGGTAGGATGCTGGGCTCGTGACCAAAGGGTTGCGGTTTGTGGGTTCGAGTCATGTCACGGCACTGTGTTGTATCTTTGAACATGGTATACTTTACTCTGCTTGTTCCAGTCTACTCAGCTGTAAATGAGTACGTGGTTCGGCAGGGCTGGAATTTTTGAATGCTAGCTGTGAGTGCCTAACTGGCACCACCGGCTGTATGCTCCCCAGGGAGTTGAGAAAAATATTGGCTAGTTGCAAAGGCCCTATAACCACGGATAATAATTTGTGAACAGCTTTGAGACAACCTACGAACTAGGTTGTGATAAAGCGGTATATAAGAACCTCAAATTATTATTTTGTTTTTATTATGTGTAGATATATATTATGGAGTTTTCATTAGAGTAATTCATGTGTTATTTTAAGCCCATCTCCTTGCTAGGTACTGACTAACAAGAGTTAAGCAGCAGATGTCTCCGACATTTATTCCCAGCTGTTACGTTAGCATCATAACAGACTTTCTTTTACTTTTCAAGTCCACTTTTGGCCTTTAGGGACTAGACAGTACAGATTCAGTATTTGGAGGGAGGTACTTTTTAAGTGGTACTGTTTTTTATTTGCATAAGCAAATCACAACATCAGCGTGGAGGATTTCTCAATGTATTTCTTTAAAATGATTATTGGTCGAAGATCGGTTAGTTAATGTTAACCAATGAGCGAGCTTAAAAGTGGAATCGATTCCCAACAGTAATTTGCTGTGTGTTCGTTTTCATTTCTTTACTGTATGTTTTTACTGTCCTGTCAGATCTGGGATCTGGAGACCCTGGAATGCCTACAGATGCTGGAGACATCGGGAGGCAGTGTGTACAGCATAGCTATCACTAACTACCACATCCTGTGTGGCACATACGAAAATGTTATTCATGTAAGTATACAACTCTACTAACTATTTAGCACACCTTGTGTTGTGCAGGTACTGATGAAAATACAGTAAAACCCCACTTACTCAAACTCGTGGGGCCCAGATCAATAGTTCAAGAAATACATGGTATTCGAGTAATCCAAGTTTTTTTTCGAGATCGTCAAGTATTTATCCGTCGAATCTTGGGTGATAATTATTAAACATATGTACGTATCGTAAAACGGTACTGCTATATTATTGAGCATGTCGCCAATAGCGATGAGTAATGAAAGTAATAGAAAAGGATCATTAATAAAGATATCAAACTGTTCAACAAGTCGTACAGACATCATTTTCATCATTTTCATGTAGCTACAATGGACAGACAATGCATGGAATTACGGATTGTATATGATGCCTACTTATATTACCGTGCATTGTTCATGTTAGCCGTATATATGTTTCCTGTTAATGTTAATGATAATGATGATTTTATTTCATTACGTTACGGGAATACATAAAAAAAAAATGAAAAAAATCTTATAATGTAGAACTGAGTAATAACTTGAACTTCCAGCACCATTGTAAGAAAAGGAAATTGAAGTTTACAGTCTTGCATTAGAATGTCTGTAATGTCCCATCGTTTTGTCGTAACTTAAATTGATTCTTTTGCTATAATAAATGAAGCAAGCAAATAGTACAACATATAGACCCTGAGAGTGTTTATTGTTGTTGTTGACAAGTACACATTTTGGCGTATTATTTGTAGATTGTCAACAGATTTGTGAAATGATGAATTGGCCCAATCATAACCTTTATAACAGAAAAACTATATACAGAAATTGTAATCAGTCCAGTTGTGATTTAGAGCAAGGTTTCAAGCACGAAAGCACTGAAATTAGAATACCGCTAAAATATAATCTTTACAGTGTCATATTTTTTTTAAAATTTAATTTCAAAAAATGTGGGAAAAAAAATCTGTTCTAATGTTTGTGTATTTTCAATGTGTTGACACACAGGTATGGGAGCTAGAATCAAAGAACCAGATCGTCACGCTGAAAGGCCACACGGGTACAGTGTATGCCTTGGCCGAGCTGCAGACATCCTCCGGAACAAAGATATTCAGTGCCTCCTACGACCGATCTCTGAGGGTAGGTTCTTGTTATATTGCAACATAGCTGGAAATCTTAGCCCGATAAGTTGCTCATAGTCTGATCAGCCTAGAACGTCATTTTTGGAAATTTTTAAAAATGCAATTATTTTTGAATATTTATAACTCTACTAATAATTATGATTTTATATTTCTTGTCTCCTGTTGATTCTTAAGATTCTCTTTACGTGTAGTTTTTAATTTCAATACTTTTTGAAAATATACAAAATGAAACGTTTTCGTGAAAGTTCATTAAGCTAACAAGACTTTAACATTTGGGCTCTGATGACAACTATACCTCATTGTTTTGTGTTATTTTCATAGAACAGCAAGATTAGTGATGTGAAAAGATTCATGTAGCACAACCAATAAGTGTTAATATGTGACATTTTGATCAATCTGATTAAAATCATATGTTACATGGCTTCGTTAACTTCGTACTACGCCTGAACATCTGAGTGTGCCACGGTCAGGGTCACGTTCAGGTGACCTTTATATTTATAAATACTCATTAAATTTTGACCAATCAGAGACCCTCTTTCAAAAGGGCGCTCAGAGTTGTAACAAATATGTCGGACATTGATGAGAATGATGAGAAAGTTCTGAAGGTATTTGAGATTGATTGTCTGAAACCCGAACAGAAAAAGATATTCAAAGATTTATTAGAGAAGGAGGACTGTATGGCGGTGTTGCCTACGCAATTATTACCCAATGGGTACGTTTTCCTTGGCGTCGTAAAAACGTCAGTTCCCGCCGCCATATTTGTTTTGGAAAACTAATCTGTTCGATACCTCTCGCTATTTATCTATCAACCATGATATTCCGATTCGCTGGCAAACTTTTGACTGTGCGCCTCTGATTGGTTCATCTAAAGGTCACTTGAACGTGACCCTGACCGCGGCACATTCAGATGTTCAGGCGGAGCCATGTAACAGATGATTTTAATCAGATTGCATTTTGATATAAATATATATATAAACATATATAACACTTATTGGTCGTGCTACATGAATCTTTTCACAATCCATACCCACCAACCTGAAGAAAATGTTTAGAAATAAGCCAGATTTGTAGTCTTCTTCCTTGGAAAGTTTCTTCTTTCCACGTTATTGAAAATCTTCAGCTTCCAGGCCATTTTCGGAAGATCTTCTAAGTCTTACATGCTAAGGCTAATGTTAGACCTCTTCCAATATGGCAGATAGTTTCAGTGAGCAACTTGCAGGGTTTATTGGTCAGTTTTCTGGGCCTTACGACTGTACTGATTATTATTTTAAAATAAACTTTAATATGCATATTTATCAAATAATGTACTGTGTTATCCAGTGAATATACCCATGTCATATTTTTTGGTGTGTTAACCCATGTAATATGACCTATCAGCCCTGTGATTGGTTGTAAGTTTCAATTGTTTTAATTGTGACGTCAGGCCTAGGACAAGTACATGACGTCACAGACTTACTGGACGCACTGGAGTCAAAATGGCGGCTTTTTACATTTCAAGGTTGCATGAAAATTGTCGTTTTACATGAATAAATGCCACAAATCTTGATTATGTGTTACAAAGGATCTTACACTCTTTTTCAGTTCATATGAAATTTATGAAACTCGTAACAAATTTTTCACTTTATCTTTGTCTGTACCAGTCTATAGAAGTCTGTCTGTACCAGTCTATAGAAGTCAGTCTGTACCAGTCTATAGAAGACTGTCTGTACCAGTCTATATAAGACTGTCTGTACCAGTCTATAGAAGTCAGTCTGTACCAGTCTATAGAAGTCAGTCTGTACCAGTCTATATAAGACTGTCTGTACCAGTCTATAGAAGTCAGTCTGTACCAGTCTATAGAAGTCTGTCTGTACCAGTCTATAGAAGTCAGTCTGTACCAGTCTATAGAAGTCTGTCTGTACCAGTCTATAGAAGTCAGTCTGTACCAGTCTATAGAAGTCTGTCTGTACCAGTCTATAGAAGTCAGTCTGTACCAGTCTATAGAAGTCTGTCTGTACCAGTCTATAGAAGTCAGTCTGTACCAGTCTATAGAAGTCTGTCTGTACCAGTCTATAGAAGTCAGTCTGTACCAGTCTATAGAAGTCTGTCTGTACCAGTCTATAGAAGTCAGTCTGTACCAGTCTATAGAAGTCTGTCTGTACCAGTCTATAGAAGTCAGTCTGTACCAGTCTATAGAAGTCTGTCTGTACCAGTCTATAGAAGTCAGTCTGTACCAGTCTATAGAAGTCTGTCTGTACCAGTCTATAGAAGTCAGTCTGTACCAGTCTATAGAAGTCTGTCTGTACCAGTCTATAGAAGTCAGTCTGTACCAGTCTATAGAAGTCTGTCTGTACCAGTCTATAGAAGTCAGTCTGTACCAGTCTATAGAAGTCTGTCTGTACCAGTCTATAGAAGTCAGTCTGTACCAGTCTATAGAAGTCTGTCTGTACCAGTCTATAGAAGTCAGTCTGTACCAGTCTATAGAAGTCTGTCTGTACCAGTCTATAGAAGTCAGTCTGTACCAGTCTATAGAAGTCTGTCTGTACCAGTCTATAGAAGTCAGTCTGTACCAGTCTATAGAAGTCTGTCTGTACCAGTCTATAGAAGTCAGTCTGTACCAGTCTATAGAAGTCTGTCTGTACCAGTCTATAGAAGTCAGTCTGTACCAGTCTATAGAAGTCTGTCTGTACCAGTCTATAGAAGTCAGTCTGTACCAGTCTATAGAAGTCTGTCTGTACCAGTCTATAGAAGTCAGTCTGTACCAGTCTATAGAAGTCTGTCTGTACCAGTCTATAGAAGTCAGTCTGTACCAGTCTATAGAAGTCTGTCTGTACCAGTCTATAGAAGTCAGTCTGTACCAGTCTATAGAAGTCTGTCTGTACCAGTCTATAGAAGTCAGTCTGTACCAGTCTATAGAAGTCTGTCTGTACCAGTCTATAGAAGTCAGTCTGTACCAGTCTATAGAAGTCTGTCTGTACCAGTCTATAGAAGTCAGTCTGTACCAGTCTATAGAAGTCTGTCTGTACCAGTCTATAGAAGTCAGTCTGTACCAGTCTATAGAAGTCTGTCTGTACCAGTCTATAGAAGTCAGTCTGTACCAGTCTATAGAAGTCTGTCTGTACCAGTCTATAGAAGTCAGTCTGTACCAGTCTATAGAAGTCTGTCTGTACCAGTCTATAGAAGTCAGTCTGTACCAGTCTATAGAAGTCTGTCTGTACCAGTCTATAGAAGTCAGTCTGTACCAGTCTATAGAAGTCTGTCTGTACCAGTCTATAGAGGTCAGTCTGTACCAGTCTATAGAATTCAGTCTGTACCAGTCTATAGAAGTCTGTCTGTATCAGTCTATAGAAGTCAGTCTGTACCAGTCTATAGAGGTCAGTCTGTACCAGTCTATAGAGGTCTGTCTGTACCAGTCTATAGAGGTCCGTCTGTACCAGTCTATAGAAGTCTGTCTGTACCACTCTATAGAGGTCTGTCTGTACCAGTCTATAGAAGTCAGTCTGTACCAGTCTATAGAAGTCTGTCTGTACCAGTCTATAGAAGTCTGTCTGTACCAGTCTATAGAAGTCTGTCTGTACCAGTCTATAGAAGTTTGTCTCGGTCTATTTGGTTTAGTCAAGTTTGTATACAACAGTACTAGTGTACACAGTGTTCTCCTAACAATTTGGCATTCCCGTTTGAATGGGAAATAGGAAGGATACCAGTTATATTACAAAAGTGGGATGGACAGTTTTACATAACAGGATGTAAATCAATCTGATCCTTTTGTTAATGAATTCTCAGGGACAGTAAATCAACTCTGCCCAGATATCAAATGAATAAGTAAGCACATTAAATGATGTTTCAGGTTCAGGTTTTTTCTGACCTATTTGATCTTGATTTGGTTTCGCTATCATTTGATTGCACATACAGTCACTATTCCTAGCTGTTAAAAATAAATAGGCTGGTCATCACCTAAGAATGTGAAGTTTTAGATTACTGATGGCTGTTACAGTTTTCCACGTACAAGTATACATCAAAAAAGGATTGAATTTACGCAGTTTAAATAAGACATCTATGTGTAGCATTTTCTGATGCGTAAAAGTACAAAAATGGTATTGTGTCTTCCCAAATACTGTCTCAGACACCTTGATAGTTAAGTGTTGTTGTTCGTGTTTTTATTGAGGGTCCCTGGTTTAGTATCCTGCACTGCAGTCAATACTGTTAATTTGTTTAAGCTTTAACCTAAGTGTCCAAATGACCAAGATAAGCTTAGTCCGTACCATGTCGTCCATCCTTCCTTCTATCCTTCTGTCATCTGTCTGTCAGCATTTCCTAAAACGACTTCTTCTTCTAAAAGATTGATTGGAATTTGACCAAATTTGACTGGATTTAGCATCCCTAGGTGTTTGGTTTTCAAAAATGTACAAATGAAGCGGCTGTTGCTGTTTTTGTAAGCACACTGTGCTTATTACAATATGTAAGTCGAATATGGTAATATAGACCTAATTTCAATAGATGCACAATGATAAGTTTACAGTTTAGTTCTTTAAGGATGTAATTGTTACACATTCACATTAACGACATTGGTATCCTCATTTCATAAGTGTTCCACACTAAGTGGATAGCTAATTAAGTAGATGTTGTAACATTTGAAAGAATATAAAAGAACGACTCTTGACACATTTGAAAAATACAAAATAATTTATTACAGTCATTTGAAAGGTGCACAAAGGTTGCATGCATTACCGTATTTATCCAGTTATAAGCCCATGCCTGGTTATAAGCCCACCTTTAAAATTTATAATACAGTACATTTGAGAACATTTACGCAAACATTTTTATACTGTTTCATGATACAATGTAGCCCGACCCTAGTTTGAGGGAGATATTATGTGTGAATTTCTCCCTCTGGGGCTTCTTGCTGGATATACACAGTGATACCACCCAAGTTATTTTAAGTTTTATTGCTGATAACACAAATAATAATTTGCTGCCACCTTAAATTCACAGGTTTACCATTGCATTTATGTAAATGAC